AGGAGAGGAGAGGAGAGGAGAGGAGAGGAGAGGAGAGGAGAGGAAAAATATGACAAATATTGCAGGGTATAATTCTAGTTACAGCCATCAATCTTGAACATGGAAATGCTCACTCACTGAAAAAAGTATATCCTTCATGGGTGTATACATTGCAAATTTATCCCATACACTGCTCTGTAGAAAACATATGTTCTTGTATTTTTCATCACAAGAAGCCAAGGGCTTGAGTAGCTCATTTGACATCAGTCTCCAGCTCAGCCTTTGAGCCTGCTGCGCAAATTAAAACATCAGCTCATGGTTCTTCTGTCATGATCTGAATCTAAACACTTTCTCCGAGAATTGGTCCCTAAACCCATGTTTTATTTCTTTTCTAATAAACTCAATAACAATTTGAAAAAAAAAAAAAAAGGAAGAAATGTGTGGCAATGCCAGAGGATGATACAGTGCAAATCTCCCTGAAACGAGCTGGCTTCTTTTCCTGCCCTTCTGCACTCCCTCCTGTTCTCCCTGGCCTCAGGAGCACCTGCCCAAATGCGATTGCCTTGCTGACAGACAGATGGAACAAAAATGCCCATGTAGTTGTCAGTTTAGCAATTAAAAATAAATAAATAAAAAGAATAAATCATGGGATTATTTGGGCCGAACAGAGCGAAACAAGAATGGCTCAATTGAATTACAGTATATAAGACTCTGGCCTACTGGCTGAATAATTCAAAACAGGATATTTTCCTTCTTTAATATATGAACAGATACTTCCTTCCTCTGTGAAGAAATAAATCCTTCAACTTTCTGCTTTTTATTATTTTAGAAAGAAGCCAGGGATCAGAGAACATCAACTAATGAGACTGTTCTTTTTTGTATATATATTTCAAATTTAAATGAAAAAAAAAATCCTAAAATTTAAGCCAGATCTCTGTGTTTACACACACACATTTCCTGTCTACCAAATGATTCCTGGGACTCCTGCCTCAAACACTGTGCATGCTCTTACAATAAGACAGTAATTCCAAAAATGCATCTTAAAATAGCTGCTGAAAGGGAGAAGAAAAATATAAAATTACTCCAAGTCATCAAATCATTGGTAATAATTTCATACAAAGCCCAAATATTTTCTAAGGGGAGGGGAGTGACAAAAGAAGGCTGATACACAGACGACTGAAGACTGATCAACTGTAATCTGCACTGCTCCAGCTAACAACATATTTGGTTTCATAACTCTCTATGAGCCATACAAACACGTGATCCTAAATAGAATCTGATCCTGCCAGTAGCAGGGCTATCTCATCAATCCCCTTTGCAAAATTACAGTGGAATATTGACAAATGGCTCTTGCAAAGATGCAGCAGCTGAATAAGCACATTCAGAGACAAGGGTTGATGAAAAAACTCTCAGTCATATCCTCTTAGGTCTCATATGGCCACATTGCTATCAGTTTTCTTTGCTTTACCTGAAACCGCTAAAACAAAACAAAAAAAGAAGTCAACAACTTGTTCAATTAGAGAAAGCAGTGCTCCAGACAAATACATAGATAAATAATAAACAGCTGCCCTACTGTGCATACTGAGCCTAAAACTTCCCATGTAGATTATGGCTTTTGAGGCTATAAAAGATAAAATTGGTTTAAAGACTCTTTTCCTTGCTTACTGAATAACAATATTGACCCCACAGACATTTTTATTTCTTACTTAATTGTCACTAAATTCAGATCTGTATGTAATGTTGTTCCTAAAATTCTTTTGGAGCCTGGGGTATTTTTTCAGCTATATTATTATTCTCATTCTATCATGAAAATGAATAAAATACATACTTAAATATTGTTGCCATTATAATCTGTTACTAAATTACTAAAAAGCTAACAACTTTAGAATAAAAGTAGCTGTTTCCTTATTCTCATTTGATTGTCCTTTAATTATAGAAATATATTGGGTTCTATGGTCAGTGTAACATTAATAGCACAGTAACCACCAGAGCATTTCAAAGAGCAGGAATCAATCCATGCCAAATACATTTAAATGACCTACACATAACAAACACTTCTTTATTTCTGGACACCCAACATGTTAATTCTAGCCCTGTAGTCCTTTCATTTTCTTTTTTTCCCAACAGGTAAACAATTGCTATATTTATTTTTTACACAAAGTTTTTATGCTAATGACTGTGCTTACTTCAGAAAAAATGAAATCATCCACATTTATTTCTTCAAAGTCATCCTCCACTTCATCACTTTTAACAGCTGCAAGAGCACTGGCCAGTTTCTTTCTCAAAAGAAAACCCTTCCAAAATGCCTAAACAAAAAATTTAAAGCATGTTATACAAAGCCATAGATCAAACCCAAATCCAGATTCTCTATGTTATCCCATTAGGAAGATAAAACATCTTGGGCCTTGGTTTAATAGCTCAATGATCTGTTTTTTGAACTTTATGTGACATTTAAAACTACAAGACAAATTAAATGCCAGCATATGCCTAAAGCTTAGAGTACTCAAGAGGCTCTCCACCACTAAGCAGAAAGGAATCCTGGAACTCCCTCAACTACAAACCTGGGTCAACTAATTAATTATTTGACAATTCCTTCAGGGACTATTATAAACTGAAAGGAAAGGCTACATAAGAAAAAGCTGAGTGTCAACTTTCAAATTACTGAGAATAAAAATACACTTGTACTAAATGTCTTGTAGTTTACAAGTAGCAGTTCTTGGAGACAACTCATGCAATTGACCTAGGTCAGTTACTCTTTCTTAACTGTCTAAGATCTTTATTTTAAAAAAATATTACCAGTAGGCATAATCATATCTAAGAAAAAGGAGAACATTAGGAATTAAGTACTAGAAAAAGAGGAACAGTGTTAGGAACACATGCCAAGCTGTAAAATCAGATCCAGGAAAACACTTCAGAGATAAAAATTACATAGATGGAATTAAGAAAACTAAACTCAGGACAGCAGTTTTCCCCCAAATCAGTGTTTGACATCAATAGAGTTCAAGATGCCCTAAAGATTTAAACACCATGCCAAAAATTTCCACTGTCCTGAACAATGTAGTGTTGTCCACAATTAATGGTTTTGCAATGAAGGCACTAAATAGGAAGGGTAAATCTCATACTCTGGCTTAATGTTTAGTTTATTGATTTTTAGGAAATTATTGCCTAAGTGCATAAATTATTGAAAATATTACTGATTTTACACACAATTCCTGATTATTATAAAAATGATAAAATGTATCAGAAATGCTTTCTTATAATTTAATTGTTGTTATTTTCCTATAGATCTTCATAACCACCCAGATGAAATATCGTGATATTACTGAGTGATCAAATGACAAATATATTTCACTTAACAAATAGAATTTGTTTTTACAAAAGCAAAGGAGAATAACAATCCTAATGGTATATGCAGAAAGATAAACTGTAAGACAGCTGTTAACACAGATCTATGAAAGCACTAGGTCAGCACTCAGTCATGATCAAGAAGAAAAATTGTATGTTAGTAGTTTTTAAGAAACAAGATGAAAACCGTCTTACTGCAAAAATTTGTGATATATCCGCCTATGGAATCCAGTTCTAGTCACTTCTTTAAAAAAAAGTTTATAATAGAACAAGCTAAAGGTTGAGAAGGGGACAAAAAGATAAAAGTACAGAGTTATGTGAAAAGAGACTAAATGGATTAAACTCTTATTTACAAAAGAGTGAATATGAGGATAGATACAAGAGAGATCTAAAAATCCATAAAATGCACAGAAGATAAATAGTGAAAGACTTCCTTTTCATAGTAACTTTGGAAATTAACAGGTCTGAAACAAATGAAAGGAAGCACATTTTAATCACTATATAAATTTGTGAAACTCATCACTTTAATATGCAGCAGAGGTCAAATATGTATAAGTGGTAAGAAATATGGTAAGTTCAGAAATGGATTACATAAGTTTATGGAGATCAACTGTCAATACACTATTTAAGAAACAGGTTTTAGCTCAAGTTCCCAGATAACTGACTGCTGTCATATAATTCTTACTTGTCAATAATACTTACTTTCTTAGTATGCACATTTACTCAACATTTTGCTACTGCCCATTTGTTGAATAGATACTAAGGATTATTTCGACTTTCAGGCTGAAAATGGAACTTAGGCTCCTAAATCACTTTGGCACTGTTGACACTTTTATAGAAGACTTACCATTTCGAATGTTTTTAAGTTAACTTGAAATCTGAAATCAATACAGGGTCCATTTGCTTAAAAATGCAGAAAAACCCACGAACCCTGGCAGCTTGGCAGGCAAATACTATCTCTGGTTAGCAAACTAGACAGAGCCAGGCATGGACTTCAGTTGTTGTACACAGTAATGCATTCAGTTTAACTGTTAGCTCAGTATCTACCACAGGACAGCCTAGGCCATGATCTGTTTCCAATGACAGTATGGATGAGGCAATCCTGGTTTTGGGAGATGGGGAGACAAGGAAAGCGATAAATAGGTAGGAAAGAAGAGATGGGAAGCGTAGTTAGTATTACGGATGTCAGACATGATGTACCAGTTACTTGGCATCTAATAGCATTTAATAGCATAGACAGACATATCGTAGTAAGAATATGGACACAATATGCCTTAAACATAATATTAGAATTAAGTCAAGCAAAATTAATTCAGAGAAATAGTTGGTGAAAAAAAGGAAAATATTTTTATGCTTCTATAAAACTTCTTTGTAAAGAAGGCTCTCTTCTAGAAACATCAAGCTTATGCTGGTTAAATAAAAAAAAAAATGTTAACTTATGAAACAATTAATAAAATAATAAACAAAACCAGAAAGAAGATGACAAGTACACAAAACTAGTAAGATTTTTTTTTCTTATTAAATTTGCAAAATAAGTAAAGACAATACCATAAACCAACCTGGATTCGTGTGGCAGCTTCATGCTTCTGTTTCCAGGCTTCTGTAAACTGATGATTCTCTGTTTTAGCGCAGTAAGTTTTCCTCCTGGCATGGTACCGCCGCCAAAGGGACTGGATCACTGATGCTGCCATATGTAGTCTCATAGAGAAATAAATACCTTTAAGAATGACATAACCTCACCAGTACAAATGAATTATCATAGCTGCCAAACTATAACCATAAAACATAGCAATATACATTGAGACAGTTGGAAAGCTCTGCCATTAAACTGTTAAGAAATTACAATCCAGATGTGACATATATGTTCAGAAATACTGAAGGACATTCACATCACATAATTTTGGAAATCTAATTACCCAAGAGGACTAATCTCTGGGCTCTGTTCCCTGTATATTCATTGGAGAGGAAGAGTCTCCTCAAAGGAGGAATTAGCAGCATAAGTGGTTTAACAATGACTGAATAAACTATTGGAGGGGTCCACTTATTTCCACTGTCCATATTAAAAAGACACACGAGAGCATAAATGCTGAAAACTGCTTGAGACAATATCATCAATTACATAGACAGGAAAAACTGAGAAAGAGCAATTTCATCTTTTGCCTACTTTTACCCTTCAGTTTAACACACTCACTGGTTATATGTGTGCATTCTCTAATTTGCTCATTGTTTAGCAAGCACTGATTACAGACTGTTTAGATTTGTTCAGTGATCGACCTTTCTAAAGACCTGTTCAATTAATTTATACTGCAAAGTTTAATGGCAGCTCTGCATTATGACTTTACTATCTTGGAATCCTTTTCTCCACAAAATTCTCATTTCAATTGCCAGACATCTAAATTTCCCTTAATCTTTACATATTTTCTTTCCTTGTGCAGTGCATCTATTTAAAGAAAGTACTTTTCAGCAAAAAAGCACAATTCAGAGGTTGTCAGATTTTTTTCCCTAAAATGTGTTTTTTAAGTTTATCAACCCCAAAACATTATTTATTTATAAACTTTGCATCTATAAAAGGCAGTAGCTGAGTTGAAAAAACAAACAAAACCCCCCACCCTGTTATGGCTTGCATTCTGCATTGAAGAGAACTGTCCAACAACAGACTTACAGAATTTATTTAAAACATTAACTTAAAACTCTAAATGAACTCTTTCAAAAGATTTTTCTGAAACACTCAACTTCCATAATAGACTACTGTACTCTTACTTTCAGTTTCCTGATAGGCAATGATGAATTCTATGGTCTTCCTGAATAATAAATTTTATGACAAATTACTAGTATCTTAACTACCTGCTAAGCACTACTGCCCATTTACCGTAAGTCTAAACAGCATGAAGAACACCTTCCATGCTTGTTCATCATAGTGTTCTCAAGACGTATTTTTGAAACTGCATCTTTATGAAATCATAAATAAATTTTTGCACCTTTAGGGCAAAAATTTCAGCTTCTGTTTTCCCTGATCGTACATCCAGAACCATGCAAAGCAGCAGCAAATGCATTCCAAAGAGGTAATAAACCAGTGTGTTTCATGGGGAAGAATATTTGGGGGCACAGAACAAGCTGAACTGGCCCCTCACCCCAGCATCTACTTTTAAGAAGCAGGTTAAGGCATGTTGGAGGAGTACCAAGGGCAGGGCAGGCTGTTAGCTCTTCAGTCATCACAACAGCGGTAGAGTGGCCTAAGGTCAAGGGAGTAGGACGGTAGATTTAAGCAACTTTTCCCTCTTGCCTTCTAAATGATACTGCCTGTAAACTCTACACAGATGAATACAGAATGTCAAATGAACAGTGTAGCAAAAAAGTGTTAAACTAGTTTGCAGTTTAGTGTGCCCCAAAATTCCTGCAAACCATCCAGCGTTTTCGTCCCTAACATGTGTCATTGAACTGGTGTCATAAATTTATTGCAAAGCAAGAAGGAAAAGGTAGGAGACCAAGAGAAAGTTTTCAAATTCTTTTACTCTACAGTATTTTCAAATGATTTTAAGTACATATGTGTCTATATTCTAATATATCAACTGACAGAATATCCCAAAGGATGGTTGTTAATATGGAAGTCTAGTGTGCATCACCATACAATAACTCTGTTTAATAAGCTTAAAAGTGCTGCTTTCTTACTACAAGTTATGTGCCTCCGTTTTAAACAAGAAATCCTCACTCCTATTGCCTATCTGTATACTCTATTTGAAAGCAATTGACATTTATCTTACCTTTCTGTATCATTCTCAAAACGTTGAAGATCTCTTCCCATGTTACTTTCTACTATCACTGACTGTTGCAATGTGAGTTGGGCTGACATGTTATTGTTGCCTTTGCTCTCCTCACTGTAATTAATACAAGATTCAGTGCTCTTCTGCTTCACTCTCTGATCTTCTTTATTTTCCTTTGGTTGCACATGTATGGAGGAGTTAATGAATGTGGCCTGAATATGGTCAGTAGTAATCCATCTTTCAGAAGGATCCAACAGGACCTGTTTATTTTCTGTCGCACCCATGATAAAGAGGTTATTTTCCTGTAGGCAGCCAGTGGACGTTTGCTTTAAATGCTTTTGCAGTGCTTCTGGTCCATCTCTGTCAGTACCGTTTAGTTCACCATACTCATGTGCATATCGATGTTTAATACTAAGTTTCATCACCTGATTAAAATACCAGCATTGTCCCTGTGCAGAATCAATAGAAGAGGCAATTCTGAAAAAAAGACAAAACTTATTTTACCTATGTTTCAGATTGTAAGAATGCTTTAAAAAAAATAATAAATTGCTCCATTATTTTCTAAACCACCTTGTTTTTCAAGTATCCTTACATGTTTCCATATTCTTATGGTGAATAGCAATTACTCAGATTGAAAGCCAGTTTCAATGTTTATAAATCTGAATTGCATTCTTCTTTTTTTGGCAGTATTTACAATATACTCATATATGTTGGATTCCTTATTTTACTCTTCTTTTTTTTTAATATTTCAGTCTGTTTGAAATAGGCATTAGGGCACACATTTCACTATTAATTTTCAGTGTGGTTAGAGGCATTTTGGAGGATTTGAGTCAATTTTTTTATAAATCCTGTAATAGCCTTAATAATCCAATTTTATCTGGAAACTATGAAAGCTAATATAAAAATAACAGTAATTTTAAAATTTAGATTAGAACTACAACAACAAACCCCAAACTTAGATTCAAACCAACAAACCACAATGTCTAGAGAGAATTAAGGAAAACATAAACTTTTAAGTATAGATATATTTATCAATATAAGGGCAGCTGCTAGACTGAAGCAACATTAATCTACGAAGTCTGGATCTCATTAGTACTTTGTGCTACACCATCTAAATGATGAGGATGAGTAAGAGCAAATATGGACTAATCGTTACACATTCCAAAGACTGTGTTTTGACAGTGTTTGTCCATTCTATTATGTAGCAGTTACTTTTGGAATCACAAGAACATTTTCCTTTGATGGCATAGATAGATGCAGAGTTCTGTAATCTGGAGCTATTTTCAGAGGAGCACAAAGTCAGTTCTAGGTCAGCAATCCAACAGCAAATGTAGAAATAAATTCAATTCTCCTGGGAGTCTGGAAAAATCAGGTCCTCAGATTATAGTTTGAATAACAGAATTTTCCTTCCTGTTCATCATTCTTGAAAGGTGAAACTTTTGTAACATTTTATTGTGAGAAGACTCTTTACCTATGCAACTTTTCCTCTAATGAAGTTCAACTAAGAGCTTTTTAGATTTTTAAGAAAATATAGAATCAGATCTTACAAGAGTAAAAAAAGACTCCAACTCTTCCCCTGCTAGTGAAACTTCAGTGCTATTGGACAAAACATGAATGGCTAAATTGGAAACCAAATCTATGCAGCCTAATTGCACAACTCACTGGGAGTTAGCTGTACATTTGACTGCCCATTACACAATATTACTCCTACCCCTGTTAATTCCACAATAATGACAATTCCTAAAAATATTTAAACCAATGCATATGTTTGTTCAAGGGTCTAACACATTCTATCTCTCTCCTACTACACAGTAAGAATAGCAATTTCTTCAACATGAAATACCTAAAGCATTAGTTAAACAATTTAGTTAAATACTTTTAATTAGTTAAAGCATTTAAGAAGATAAATTTGGTATAAGATCATTATCAAAGATCTACAAAACATATTATGGTGAGAAAGAAAAAAACTCCTAAAGCTCATTCCCACCTTTTTTTTTTTCCTTTGGTTTGTTTTTGTTTTGTTTGTTTGTTTGTTTGAGGATTAAAATATTGTGGAACAAACCCAGAAGATTTTATACATATTGAGCAAAATAAATTTCTGTATGAAATGTAGATCCTGAATATACTTGTTCATTCTCAAAAAAAAGGAACAAAGAAAAGCAAACCACCCAAACAGAGTAGGATACTTGTGCATCCTCTCCTTTGACAGGTACAGGGGCATCTCAAGCAGCTGCTCCACCCTTCCAGTGACTATGAATGTGGCAACTGGAAGTGGAAGGGGGGGTTGAAGGTAACTGAAAATTCAACCAGGGAGTAACTGTGTGGTCACCAGGGATCATGTTTTACGTTTTGCACAGAAACTGCTTTTGGACAGCTTTTCCAAGCAGTGTTTGAAAAGTATGGTCTTGTCGCTGTGGGTATGCACCCTGTTTCCCAGCTGACACATTCCCTGGCATTCCACAACTATACTCTGATTTTGTAGGATTTTTAGGCTGCCCTCTGTGTATCAGTGGCTTTCCTCTTTAGGCAGATCACCCTAAGTTTCAAAAAACTACAAAGGAAGATGTAATGACATCTCAGCGAATTATGAAGTGGCTCCGTATCTGTATTTGGGGTTGTCCTGCAAAGGTGAAGCTCCAAACCACAGACAACAAATATTAAGGTGGGGGCTGAGTGCTAGGTGGCTGTCAGCTTGGTGGTTCTCTTTGGTGAACAGGCAGCTCTGGAGGAAAAAAAGACCCACTCCATAGGCTTGGGGTAGAGATATCCTATCAACTCACTGAAGCTTTCTCAGTGTCTCAAAATGACTGCATTCTTGACACCAGAGACGTGCTCCTGAAAACCGCTTATTCAAACCACAGAAAGGAAGCTGCTATAATGGAAAATATGCAGGACTAATTTAATACTTTAACAGAAAAAACCCACACATATGAGGAAAGAGAAGACAAAGTAAGAAATACGACAGTATTAAGCTTTTTCATGCCACAGTATTTCCTTTTCAGTTAACATAAATTGGTTGTTTGCCTTTCAGACCTTTTTGGCATTATAGGTCAAGGGGTCTGGTCACACTAACTCTTCTGGAATTGCTTCTTGGTTAAGGTAAAACCAAATTTTTAAGCATAAATTGGCATCTAGACAAAGCAAGATATGGGACCATCCTGGTAGCACCTTGCTGCCTGGCCACTTTGTATGTAATGAAATGTAGGTGAATATGGCATAAGTCTTGCTACAGCAAAACATTTATGGCTTCCAGCACATTCCTTCATGTTCAATGGCTACTTACAGCTTACTTACTTACAGTGAATATAGTTTATGTCATATGCAAATTTTAGCATAGCCACAAAGGATGCCCTTCTTTTGCAGTGGGAGAAAGGGATGACAAGGTAGAAGAGGAAGGATCTTTCATGGCAATGTGCAAACGTTCTAGAATAGTAGCCTTGATAGTACTGTGAAAGTACTAAGAGCAGAAAGCTACCTGTGCTTTTTTATCAAAAATATATCTCAACTTGTGCTAGGATTTTCCAGGGCCTTTGAGGAAAGATAAAAGCATTCCAATCAGATTTTAATCTGTCTGGAAATTCAAGCCAGGCATTTATTAATGATTTCTACAACTTCAGTTCTAACACCAATCCACCAAGAGTATCCATCATTGTCTTATTGATAATTTTAGACCAAGCCCTGCTCAGTTTCACCTGTAGTGTTTGGGGAGGGAAGAGTAGTGGTGGGAAGGACTAAACCTCCACTGACTCCACCTAGGAAGTGTAAGGACCCATGCACAGGATAACATAACAGATATGGGAAAGGACATGTTATTAATCCTTAACAGCCTTTCAGTGGAGTTTAAATCAGTTTAAATCAAACCAACTTTAGAAAATTTAAGGTGGCAGTGGAAGCTTGCTTACAGAGCTGACACATTTTGTATAGAACTTCCTTCTGTAGTTGCATCTGCAACAACTGGCAGGTTATTCAGAGAGCATGATTTTGTCAGAATGAGACAGAAAATATTAAATGCAAAGGTCAGCAGAACAAACCTCTCGGATGCAAAACAGAGTGGAGAAACAAGCCAGTTCTAAGCAGCAATGACAGTTTTCTCCTGGCCATTGCAGCTAAATCATAAATAATATTCTACCCCTTTTTCTGCTAGTTAAAATTTTTCTTAATGTCATGCTTTTCCCTTTGTGGCTCTACTTTGATTTTCATAATTTTGATACATGGAATATTCAAATTGTACATTCCAATTTTAAAAGAGCTCTTGTTTGTAATAGTACTGTCTTTGGGGAAACTTCTGTAAGCATCATTACTGATGTGAGACTGCAGGTTACAAAAGTCCCTGACAAATACATGAAAGAGGTCCCTGTTTATATATTCTCTCCTGTGATACCATTTATGAAATTCCTGTCATTTTCACTGTTTTATACATACAGTAGTTATAAAGTTCAAGTTCCATGAACATTTGCATATCTGATGACTAAAAGCAAATTAGTGCAGCCAAGATGTTGTATTATTTTCTTATATGATTATTCACTACAAGACATCTGAAGATTATGTAACAGAAAGCATTTATGAGAACAGAGAAATTTAGCTTTAAAATATGTTTCATTCTTAAGCATGGCAAGAACAGTGAAGTTTCAGGCAGAAACAGCACAGACAATTTAATTGGGCAGCAGTGATGTATAAAACATGGATTAGGGAAGCAAGCAGTGATTACTTTTGGCAGCTTACATACTTGAGGTCGCACCTACAGGGGCTCATAACTTCGCAAGATGTGAAACAGACAGAAGTTTGTTCTATTGTTGGCCTGTTCTTTAGCAACGTCACATTAATTCAGTCAAAGTATTGCAGCGTGTACATATAACAGCTATGCTGTTAAGGGCTATATACAAGCAAATTGTTTAAAGTTCCTTTTATGAACTGCAGTTTTCGATGGTTTTGAAATCATCCATAAATTATATTTTTAGTCAAAACAAAACATAAAGGGCTTTAACACACAAGAAATTCATTTTAAGAATAAATTTGATACAAGATGTTTCAACCACGTCAAAGCTACTAATGTAAAAGACTGTGAATGAATTTTCAAAACCTTAAAAAAACCCACAACCCTCCCTCCCTGGCCCCCTGTTCCTCCCCCAGACCATACATTCTGGAAAGAAGAGACGTTTACATAATTTCTTTTCCCACTGTTGTTCTCCTCAAGCATCTGCAAGCTCTTTCAAACAAAACTTACACAGAATCATAGAAAATGACAGGAAAAAAAAAATAGGAAGGCCAGTTGAGGGAGAATGTAGAAGATGGGAAACCTACATCACAAACGCGTCAGTAAAAAAAATGTACACCTCAAATCACTACCCCACCTACAAGGAAAAAAAGGAGAGTTACAGTTGTGGGTGACTCCTTCCTAAGGGGGACGGAAGGCCCAGCATGCCGAGTGGACCCGCTACAGAGCAAGGTCTGTTGTCTCCCTGAAGCCCGGGTTAAGGACATCGCCAGGAAACTTCCTGGCTTAGTGCATCCTTCAGACTACTATCCATTATTGATTTTCCAGGTAGGTACAGAAGAATGCAAACCTCAGTTCACGGTCAATAAAAACAGATTTCAGGGAGTTGGGAAGGGTGGTTAGGGGATCTGGGGCACAGGTTATCTTTCATCACTCCTTCCTGTAGAGGGCAATGATGCTGGCAGGAACAGAAATATCCAGTCATTTAATACGTGGCTCTGTAGCTGGTGCCACCACCATAAGTTTGGGTTCTTTGACAATGGATTTGCATATACAACACCAAGCCTGCTTGTTAACACCTAATGGGAGGTGCCTCTCTCAAAGCGGGGAGGAGGTTCTTGCCCAAGAGATTGCAGGTTTGATTGACAGGGTTTTAAACTAGATGGGAAGGGGGAGGGAGGTGATACCAGGCTTATCTGTGATAAGCTTTGGGCTACCACACCAGGGTCAGAGGGACAGGGTGCTAGTAAGGGCCTTCAGCCTGGTTCCCTGAGCCAAACTGATGACCCTTCACTACAGTCAAAGTCTTATGGAGATGAGCCAGCAGCTCCCGGGCTAGATGCACTACATAGAGAAACACCTGACAGACACTCCAGGGGGTATTCTCTTAAGAAGGCAGCGCAGCCAACAGCCCAGCTGAAGTGCCTCTACACCAATGCACGCAGCATGGGCAACAAACAGGAGGAGTCAGAAGCTACTGTGCTGCTGGAAAGCTACGACATAGTGGCCATCACTGAAACCTGGTGGGATGATTCCCATGACTGGAGTGTAGTTATTGAGGGCTACAAGTTGTTCAGAAGGGATAGATGAGGAAGGAGGTGTCACTCTTTATGTTAAGGAATGGATAGAGAATGAGGACATGTCCTGAAAACCCTCGCTGGTGTCAGATGAGAGAGTTGAGAGCCTGTTGGGGAATATTAAGGGGCAGGCCAATATGAGGGACACTGTTGTGGGCATTTATTACAGGTCACCTGATCAGGACGGAGAAGTTGATGAGGCCTTTTACAATCAGCTCCAAGTAGCCTTGCAATCACAGGCCTTGGTTCTTGTGGGGGACTTCGATCACCCAGACATCTGCTGGAAAGGCCACACAGCCAGGAATACGCAGTCTAGGAGGTCCCTCCAGTGTATTAATGATAATTTCTTAACTCAGCTGGTGGAAGAGCCAACGAGGAGAGAAGCACTACCGGACCTAGTACTGACAAAGAGGGACTGGTGGAGGACATCAAGGTTGAGGGCAACCTTGGTTGCAGTGACCACGGAAAGATAGAGTTCAGGATTTTGGGCAGCATGCACAAGACAACAAGTAGGACTGAAACTTTGGATTTCAAGAGGGCTAACTTTGTCCTTTTCAAGGAACTGCTAGGTGAAATCCCATGGGCTAAGGCTCCAGAAGGTAAGGGGGCTCAAGAGAGCTGGGCAACATTCAAACATTGCTTTCTCCAAGCTCAGGACCAGTGCATTCCCAAGAGCAAGAAATTGGGCAAGGGAAGCAGGAGAACTGGGTGGTTGAGCAGGGACCTTCTGAAAAAACTAAAGTGGAAGAAGGAAGTTTACACCGAGTGGAAGAAGGGACTGACCACTTGGGAAGATTACAAGGATGCTGTTAGACTATGTAGGGAAGAAACAAGGAAAGCCAAGGCCTCCTTGGAATTAAAATTGGCAAGAGATGTCCAAGTCAACAAGAAGGGGCTTTTCAATTATATTGGAGGCAAAAGGAAAACTAAAGAAAATGTGGGCCCACTGTTGAATGAGTCAAGTGCCATGGTAACAGAGGATGCAGGGAAGGCTGAGTTGCTGAATGCCTTCTTTGCGTCAGTCTTTACTGCTCAGGCCAGCCCCCAGGAGTCATGGACTTTGGAGGAATCAGAGAATGTCTGGACAAAGGAAGATTTCCCCTTAGTGGAGGAAGACCAAGTTAGAAAACAGTTAAGAAGTCATGGGTCCGGATGGGATACACCGAAGAGTGCTGAGGGAGCTGGCAGAAGTCATTGCAGGGCCACTCTCCATCATCTTTGAGAGATCCTGGAGAACAGGCGAGGTGCCCGAGGATTGGAGAAAAGCCAATGTCATCCCAGTCTTCAAAAAGGGCAAGAAGGAGGACCCAGGAAACTACAGACGGGTCAGCCTCCATCCCTGGAAAGGTGATGGAATGGCTCATCCTGGGTGCCATCTGAAAGCATATGGAGGAAAAGAAAGCTATCAGAAGTAGTCAACATGGATTTACCAAGGGGAAGTCATGTCAGACTAACCTGATAGCTTTCTATGATGGCATAACTGGGTGGATAGATGAGAGGAGGGTGGTGGATGTTGTCTACCTTGACTTCAGCAAGGCTTTTGACACTGTCTCCCACAGCATCCTCATAGCTAAGCTTAGGAAGTGTGGGTTAGATGAATGGACAGTGAAGTGGATTGAAAACTGGCTAAAAGACAGAACCCAGAGGGCTGTGATTAGGGGCACAGAATCCAGCTGGAAGTCTGTAACAAGTGGTGTTCCCCAGGGGTCAGTACTGGGTCCAGTCCTCTTCAATATATTCATCAATGATCTGGACGAAGAGATGGGATGTACCCTCAGCAAGTTTGCTGATGATACAAAACTAGGAGGGGTGGCTGACACCCCAGAAGGCTGTGCCGCCATACGGTGAGACCTGGACAGGCTGGAGAGTTGGGCCGAGAGAAATACAATGAAATTCAACAGGGGCAAGTGTAGGGTGCTGCACCTGGGAGAAATAACCCCATGCACCAGTGCAGGTTGGGGGCTGACCTGCTGGAGAGCAGCTCTGAGGAAAAAGACCTGGGAGTCCTGGTGGACAATAGGATGACCATGATCCAGCAATGTGCCCTTGTGGCCAAGAAGGCAAATGGCATCCTGGAGTGCACCAAGAAGAGTGTGGCCAGCAGGTCGAGGGAGGTTATCCTGCCCCTCTACTGGAGTACTGTGTCCAGTTCTGGGCTCCCTAGTTCAAGAAGGACAGGCAACTGCTGGAGAGGGTACAGCAAAGGGCTACAAAGATGATTAGGGGCCTGGAGCATCTCTCTTATGAGGAGAGGCTGAGGGACTTGGGTCTTTTTAGTCTGGAGAAGAGAAGACTTAGGGAGGATCTAATCAATGCATGCAAATGTTTAAAGGGAGGGAGTCAGGAAGACGGGGCTGATCTTTTTTCAGTGGTGCCTAGTGACAGGACAAGAGGAAATGGGCACAAACCTGAGTATAAGAAGTTCCACCTAAACGTGAAGAGGAACTTCTTTACTGTGAGAGTGGTAGAGCACTGGAACAAGCTGGCCAGAGAGGTGGTGGAGTTCCCTTCTCTGGAGACATTCAAACCCCACCTGGACAAGTTCCTGTGCAACCTGCCCTAGGTGGACCCACTTTGGTGGAGGGGTTGGACTAGATGATCTCCAGAGGTCCCTTCGAAACCCGTTGCAATTTGTCACTAAGGCTTTTCCTTATGTCCAGTTGTACTGGGTCTGGCTAGGATGGAGTTAATTCTCATTATAGCTGCCCACATGGTGCTGTGCTCTAGATATGTGACTGAAACTGTACTGATAAAACAGTAATGTTTTGCTGAAATGTGCTTGGACATTTTAAGCTACTATTCCTGCATGCCACTGTACTATGTTGTGTCTATGGATTCATACACACACTACTACTAACTGAAGGTTTTGAACTACCTGGTTTCTCAAACTTAAACAAACAAAAGTCAAGGCCCACATATTTTAATATCTGTCTGAAATACTCTTTGCACTGAAGTCAATTATTCTAACCTCTTTCTTAACAAAATACATTTCCAGGCAAAAATATAAGTAAAATTCATAAAGCGCCAAGAACAACACTAACAATAACAATACATGAAAACATATTTCTGACCGCAAGGTATATTCACATAAATACATACCCCAGTTCAGCAGCCTTTTTTTTCAGTAGAGCATTTTCTTCAATTTGAACCTGACAAAGTTCCAGAAAAGTTCTTAATTCTGATCCTTTGATTCTTTCAGTTGTGGGTAAAGTTTGATAGTTTAAGATTTCACCATCAAGAAACTGTAAACTAGGAAGGATCATACACAAGGAAGGCCTTAGAAAAGAAAAAGTAATAATTAGTTTTACAAAAAAATCCTAATGCAGAAACTCCCATTTTATTGATACAATCACATAACAAGACAGAACATGACGATAGTTCTCTAAGTATTTGTATATATTTGTCCTTACTTCATATGTTAATTTATTAACTGAAATTAACTAAATCTTAACTCTTAATAAACCACAGAATTTACCAAGATTTCTTAATACTTTGTTTGTATAAAGATCACTGCTTAAACACTGACCCCAAGGAGGTCAATGGCAACATTCTCAATTCATTAGAGCTAGAATTTTAACTACTTAAACAGTAACAAGAAAATTTGACACACTTGTGCATAGGCACCTGTAATGCATTTGATTAGTAGGCAACACAGTGAACTAAATCATAGGATTAAGATACAGCACTGATTTTAGTGACACATTGAAACCTTTAGATTTAAAAAATGGCAGATAATACTAATCATTGTCAGTCTTACTCGCTTAACCTTTTGTATATATCACATAAAATAATATGATAATCAGTATGACTGACAGGGAAAAATAAAAAAATTATATCATCAATACTCTTTTAGGTTATTGTGAAATATAATCTAGAACTGAACCTTGTTTCACATATTTCTTATACCAGACCAAATTTACTGAAAGTTTCAAAACTGTAAAATAATTTAAATCAATACATCAATATTTTAAATAAATTAGTTTTAAGTACCACTTAACTCCTGAAAGAATACCTTAGTAGGCTGCAAGTCCCCTTACAATTAAAAAAGATAATACTGTCGTCAAAATTTTAGAACTCCCTTACTATTCCCTGTGACAGCAAAGGACTATCACTCAGCTTAGACAATATACACTAAGTTTAAAATCAGAGGAAGTTTCTATGTCTGAGTTAGAATATTCCAAAATGTAAGTCAATAGAACAAAATGTTACTTTTTGAAAATATAAAAATTTCCTTCTCTAGAGCCCATTAATGTAAGAATAACACAGTTTGAAATACTTTGGAATAAAACAATAGCTTTAGGTAGACAGTCCATGAACACATAGAGAGAAATTACCAAAGCTGATGCTGAATAGTGATACATCAAAAAAGTGCCATATCAAAAGTTGATTGATGCTGGAAGTATTGTGTCTTAGAGCTATGGGATCTCAACGCTAGTTTTTCCAGCTGGGCTTCTCCTGGTGAAGGGCTGAGTCAATATTTCATTTAGTGAAAACTTTCTGGTGAATATTCTGTCACTTAAGAGGCTCTATTAATCATTACAGCATTGAAACACATTCCCCTAGGAGTGCTCAGGCTGATCCCAGGGTTTAATTTTTAAAAAGCAATTTCTTACTACTTCACTTTTGTTGGTGTTATCGCTGGCTGGACATGAAAGTACAAAACTGATTGGGAAATTCTACAACTAATTCCTTTGTTGGTATCAAGGGGTTATGTAAAGTTCACTGGAACATATTGCCTGAAGTTACGGTCAATGCTGTATTCAGCAAATCCATATTTTATAGTATCCCATACTTTAAATCCTTTAGACAAATGAATCTCTTGTCTAATCATAAAAGCTCTATTGGGTCAAGCAATCTAAAGTGTCAGTTCTTATAGTTAAATTGGAATTCAGAAAGTTTTTCCCCTCCAGGTTACAAGTGACATAACACTTCTATAAAATAGTAAAAATTAAAACAATACAAATGAGAATTTAAAATATTGTCACAGTCACTGAATTTTATTCAAAAAATTACCTACAGGAATGACGGGAGTGCAAATAAGTTGGTTCATTAAAAAACAAACTAACTTAGAATGTATTTATACAGCTATCTTTTAAACTACTCAAACATTACCAATTAAAAGCTTCAAATAGGGTTTTTTTTTCCTACTGGAATACTAATCAGAAATACACAAAAATCTTCTAATGGAAGATATACATGTAAGGGTGGCTTTGGTTTTGGTTTTTTTTTTTCCTTAATACAACCCATACTCTAAAACACACATACCCTAAACTTTATTATTGTTATACAAAGCAATCTATAATAGCAAACATGAACACAATTCATCCAAACACATTCCTGTGTAACACTGAAGTGTAAATCCTCACCTTTAACTCACTTGAAATTATACAAGAACAATTTTCGTTACACTTCAAAATTGCTAAGCTTAAAAAAATATCATATTTTTCTAATAAAAAAATCTCAATCACCTGTTTTAATTACATCTAAAATGAAAGTCCAACTGTTGTGTCTCATTTCATTTCCTCAGACATTTTATTATGTCAACACTTTCCTAGGTAAATACTTGATTTCCTTAGCTGAAAGAATTGGTAATGATTTAAATTCTTACTGATTAAATGTTTCTTTGTACCTTTAATGGAATTATAGTAAGAGTTCACTAACAGACACTCTACCATTTCAACGCATGTAGTCTGGAACATCATCTAAAAGTCTAAAATTGCATTTCCAACTTGTCATTCTGCTCTTGAAAGCCTGTAGACTAGAAAGTATTAATTCTAAGGAAGATGAAAGAACACTTCACATTAAATTTACAGCACTACTGTACTTTTGCTGAGCAATTCTCTCAGACAGCTTTAAGTTTTGATGGCATTGACCCATGTACAGGGTTTCAGACCACAGAATTCTCAAGAAACCAGGAGACTACTACCAACAAAATACAAAAAAAACCCCACCTAACCTATCCATGTACAATTTTATTCGTATGGTTTACAAATACAATCCTATCCCAACTATTCACTTCAGGGATTATGGTGACTGCATCTCCTGTCATATGACAAGTTCACTTTCTATTTCATTGAGCTTTTATACATACACATATGATAGTCTCTAGGATAAGCCGTTTAATTTTTTTTCCAGATTAGCATTTCAATATTATACACCACCGGAGGGCAAAGAACAGCATTATTTTTACATCTGTCTCTCTTTCATAATCATAAAAGCTATTAATTTTTGGTGTAAAGATAAAGAATTCTCAGAACAATAAAAAAAGTTTAAGCTGAATGGTCTAAATCAATCATTCATTCCAACTTTTTCTTCTAAATTTTTTTTCTTGAAATATGGTAAGCCAAGGATTCCTTGACACATTTATTATAAACACCACCCTTTCTCTAGCTACATGCGGTAAGAAATTGTCACAGCAGCAAGACTGTTAAGCAGTGAATAGATGAAGTGATGGAAAGGAGTAAATAAGAAAAAACCCACAAACAGCAAATCTGAAAAAACAACACACTAAGAAGCTATGTGATATTCATAAACTGATGCTTCTGAGAAGGGCAATTGGGCAGTGTAAGAGCATTAATAATAAGAGAAAAAAATAAAGGTTTTAAACTGTACAGATGAAAGAGAAGGAGGAAAAAAGTTGAGCAGATGGTCATGTCTTTGTGCAAAAGTTTTAATGAAATGTAAAATAGGGTAATAAATGTCAGACAAAACCTCAGTCAGAAAATTGAAGCTACCAAAGGTGGTAAACTTGTCAGTAAAGAGGAACAACCAGAATTCATGCTGAAAAAGAAGATACTGTGATCAACGGTCAAAGAAGCAGCTACAAATAAACAGCAAAAAGGAGGCATATATCAACTTTATAATTTCTGCATTTGTCTAAAGAAATTGTTATAAAGAAAAATACTAATTTAGGATAACAGTTAAACAGCATAGAGAGACCAATGTTGAGTTTTAGCACAAACTGCTAGGTCAAACATCAAGATGTTTGTTTAAACAATATTACAAACTGGAACTCTTAGAAAATGAAGATCACATAATTGAATTTTATTTGTTATTTTCTTACAATTCTCTTCCACTTTGTTGCAATGTTCATACCTCTCTTCTACTATTTAACTAACATATGTACACCAAGTTTTTGGCTGATTTTCATTCATAAACAAGACATATATAGACCTAGTTTTTGTCTAATTTTAATTTAGGAAATTAATTTATTTTCTTACCTCCAATTCCTTTCTTGGAGAAGAGGATTTCCACTAAGTGACAATTCCCTTAGTTTATGACAGCCACTTAACCATGTAATGATACCTTTAAGGTCTGTAGAGTAGTAAGAAACAAAATTAGATAAAATTTTAATTCAAAACCATATTATTCCTTATAGACTCTTCAATGAAAGTAAAATGTATCAAAATCACAAAGCACTACAAGCAATTCTGCTACCTATACGGTATAGTTATAATCAATAACATTCATGTTTGGAAAATATTAAAATGTTTTCTATATAAATGTCTCATAAATAAATGGGAACAATCAAATTCAAATAAGTTTACAATTTAATTAAGAAGTTCTTGTTTGGATCAGGTTTTATGTTTTTTATACAACTCACCTGACAAGCAGTTATTTTTGATATCCAGCTTTTCCAAAGATACAAATGAATTTAAAGGCACAAGCTCAGTTAATCTAAGAACAAAACAGAAGAAGGGTGGTTTTTTTCCAATTAAATAAAAAAGCAGTTCATAAACAGAAAGGCACCAGAACCTTTTATAGTTAAGACAATTTACTTGTTTACATAAGAAAATACTCATTTAGCTATCCAAGGTGCTAGAACTAATTACTTGAAAGCATTTAGTAATCTTCTCAGTAGCTCAGTTTTTAAATATTTACTCATTAATGTTTTGTTTTATCTCATAAATATTTTATTCAGTTTTTTGTATTTAATGCAGAGGATCTTAAGTCTTGTAAAATTTGCTCTACTCAATCAGCTTTCCTTTAGGGACATAACTAGAATGAAACTAACAGAAGGCCCTTCTTTTATTTATTCTGGAGAAAAAATAAAATCTGCTTTTCCTCTTCCTTCATTTCTCATTGCTCAAACTTGTTGTCAGTTTGTTTCTCTTCTCCACTCAGCACATTATGTCCTAGATCCTAAAACTAGCATAATCATTGTCACAGTTGTATTTCTTAACAGTTCAAGGCTGCACTGTCCTGTAACATATTTTTAGGGCTTCCTCTCTGGTACTTCTTCTGGAGGACTGTGTCAAATAGGTGCCTATTACACAGACTGTTTTGGAATTGCTCTTCTTGCATATCAGAGCTTTTCTGGTGCAATAAAGCAGAAAGCAGTAGTTAAAGCCATGACAAAATTCTTATTTGTGGTATTGAAGAGTAAATGTAAGGAAACTGAGCTGACATTCCTCTATACAAATGATTTTGGACTGTAAGATGTGCATTATCACTACTATTTCACTACATTAGCATCCAGTGTTATTCAAGTTTCTTTGTAAGAACAAATAGGCATTGATGCAATTAAGAATGAATGTTGTATCATTTGGTCAGTTGCCAGGCTATTTCCAAATATTACCTTTCAGATTACAACGTTTATTTTGTTTTTCTTAAATATTAAAAAGGAGGAAAAATTAAAATCAAGATGCAAAAAAACCCAGTCTGTAATTAAACCAAGAATGTTTATGTATAAGTACATACTAAATCAACTATATCTTTTAAAAAAAAAATAAAAATACACATTTAGGTACCTTGTTTCATCCCTGTAAGGACAAGGCCTAAACATAATGAGAGAATACGCCACGGTAACACCAATGGCAATGTGTGTGGTCACTTTCTCACTGATAATTTTCACGGAAAGAAGTATTTTCTGAGGGCTATAGTGCCTTTGAAAGCTATAAATCACAATTCTTATGGTTAGAAACATGACTCGCTCCACGAAACTTACAACTGGTCTGAGCCAAAAATATTTATTTGTTGCTGATATGTGTGATTATGCTGTGTTTCCAGCTCCTGCATTCCAACTGAAAGACAGAACTATATTTAACTCTGGTGCACAAATTCTAGACCAAATGCTGGTTGTAGATTCTTTAATCTTATGGAAAATATGTCTATACACAAAACAGAAAAAAAAATCCTTTCCATGTTCAGTTGACAAGTATTTCTATATGACAACATAACATTTTAATAGTCAATTCAGAGAAACAGCTATAAAACCAATTGAGTATAAGTCATTATACTTCCATTTCTTTCTCAAAACATATTGTGAAGTTGTCCTGGTTCTAGTCCTAATTAGTTCTTTTATCTCCCTGGCAGTTTTCTATGGAATCATATAAATATGAAGAAGTATTAATTAAAAAACTACCGAGCCTTATATGTACATAGTACTACAAATACTAGCATTTTAGGTTCTCATGACCAGTCAACTGTACATAAATATATTTAACATTTGTAACAAATATCATCATGGATATTAGTGACTAACAGTATGGATGCAAAGACTGAAAATCCATTATTCAGATTATAGAATCACATATTCAGAAACCACACTTCGTACTTTGCACAAGGGATGATGGATAACGCAGTATTTTTTATTTACAGTTAGTGAATTCTCTGGATCTTTATCAGTATATGCTGTGGTGAATTAGAAATTGTCTACTGGACTATCCTTGCCTGCCGTTGGCATTATGAGAGTTAAAACGTTTCCCTGTCATTCTATAGCTTTCCCTTCACTGACATTCTTTGTTAATTTTTTTCCTAAGAAAATTCAAACCAGAAAGACAAAGGACATTACCGAAAACTTAATACTACTTGACCTTGTCACATTAGCCCTGGGCATAAGAAAGATATAAATTACAAAGAAGACACAAAAGTAAAAGATATTCACAAAAAAGCATGCTATAACTTCCTCTTTCTGCTCCCATTTAAGGCTGTAGCAAGACAGGACACAGATAGCCACAGAAATGATGTCAGAAAACAAGCTTTAAGAGACTAGAATAGTTGCAAGTATGCATCAGAGAAAATAAAGATTGCTTTTCTGAACACGAATAGCAGTTAGCGCTCAGGATGGTCCAAATCCTGCTGTGCATCTGCGTTTCCCCAGAAAAAATATCATTGATGTTAATGAGTCATTAGCTGGAAAGAGGACAAAATGATTAAAAAAAAAAATTATATTAATCTAGATCTTTAAGTAAAGCACATATTTCTTCTTTATTCTTTTAAAATAAAAATATTTTGGTTTGCAATATTCACCGTATTTAACAGTAATAATCAAATATAATGTAGGAAAACTGTCACAGCCACTTATTTTTTGAATACTCAACTAAGCAGTGCTTCAACTGTATTGCTCATGGTGCCACATACTTAGAGACAAACTTATCACCAGCAAAGAATTACTGAAAGTGATCAAAAAAATCTAGACTGCTAAGGATGGGGTGGGGAAAACCACTATAAATTAGTATAGCTTTTTCATGACTGACTTAGTTCAACATCCAATGACATTTAGATTTATTATAACGACTCTGGAAAAAGTGGTTAAATTCTCAAAACACGATGGCTTGCAATGACAGAGAGTTCAACTCTTACATCTGAGAAATTAGATTTAAAACATAGATACCATATATATTTAAGTAAGGAGAACTAAGAAAGAATTGAGCTGACTTTTTAGCATTTCTAAGCCTTTTAGGAATAGTATGCATCTAGTTACAAAAACATGGGAGCAACATGTTCACAAAGAATTTGATTCTTGCCAAACCAGTTTCCCAAAAACCATGAATTTTTGCAGATGACTGCATTTTTAAAAATATTAATTTTTTAATCTTTCACACTTAGGTTATCTTAACGAAAACCAAGAGGTAGTAAAAAAGAACTTTGCCATATTAATGCTGTATTAAAAAAGAAACTTTAAGAGGCATAAATTTGTCTATTTTGGAGTTGCAAAAAAAAAAAGGGGCTACACGAGCAGCAGATTGATTTATTGTCTCACTGTAAAGCTTTTAAATGAAAAAGACATTAACGAGTAAACTACATAATTAAGTGGGATTACATGTAAATATAAATACCACATGAACACTTAACACATATTAAATATGTATTAATTTTAGTCCCAGGGGCAAGGTTTTTCCCTCTTACACCTAAATCTTTATCTACAACAGAAGAAAAAGAGAAAATATGCCTTTTTTAAACTAACTTAACAGTTGTGTTCCCCGGCTGCTATAAAACAGAGCACAGGTCTTCATACTCCCAGTTCTGCAGTAACCAAGTCAAGAGGATATTAATCATTGGCTTTGGCCAACTGCACATTGACCAAGTATATGCTTTGTATGTGAAAGCCACAATAAAACACTTAATAAAAGCAGCGGTGGTGAAATAGCTGCCCTTTTTATATTTGAAGGAGTTAATCACTACCTGTTATGTTATAATTCCTTGTTGCTAGGTTTTAGGTTTAAAAAAATTAATTTTTGGAGGGTTGTTGTTTTTTTTTTAATCTTTGGCAAATTCTGGTATATGATACAGATAAAGCATCTCAGGAATAAAAAAAAATAATCCATGAATTACCATAAGAATTTTCTTTTCACAGTACCTCACTTTTAGAAAGAATACAGATTCACAGCATTGCCATTATATGGGCTTCCTGCAATCAGTAAAAAGGAAATGGCACTCAGTGCACACTTGAAAAAAATTTACAAAATAGCACTAGCTGTAGGATGAAAGTAAAGAAACAGCTTTTCTTTCAACAGCTTACTCTATTACATTCACCATTTCTATAGAACATCGAGTTACTTATGCTATAGCACACACGTATGGAGCTGCTTATAAGTGTACATAAAGTGAGTGTAACAGAGCAGGCTACTGAAATGCCAGAAATTTTGAGGCTTTTAATATGCATTTAAGGCTATCTTGTCCTGTTTGTCACAAAGATATGAGATAAGCTATAGATACATCAAGGAAAGAAAGGGAATTTTCTGGGGAGGAGGTAAGTATTTATTTTCAGCACATCCAGTTTGCTGATGCAAAAATATGTGCTTTCTCCGAGTCCAGCAGAAGAAACTCAGTGGACCAAACACTGCATCATCTCAGCCACCAGAAAACCGGAATAAGCACTACAAAGGACATCAAAAACTGTAAGATCATAGGATAGGGAAGTGACATAAGATACATCTACATGGCCAGTCCAGCACAAGCTCGATCCAGAGGCTGCATTCAAGCTATGCCTGAGACCGTGCCCCGAAGTTTGTTCTTTCCCTAGCAGGCAGACATGAAGTCTTCAAGGAGTTTTGCAAACTTTTTATTACACATGGCATAGCTATACCTTAATGTCAACAAAAAAACAAAGCAGAGGAGAGGTGGACACTACAAGAAGATAGAGCTACATTACTGCACAGAAAGCTGAACAGGACAAGGGAAAAAAAAAAAGGGAAGAACATGAGTTCCATTAATACGTGTGATTCAGATTCTGACAATTAACAAATTATGCTCTCGTTAATCACAGGCAGGAAGCACTTTCTCTGCACTCCAGATTAATTAATAGAAGAACAAAAAAGCCCACAAAACCCCATCAACTTGAAGATTAGATTCTGTAAATATAGGTAGGTGTTATATTTACATCCAAGAATTTACACACATAATTCTTCATCAGAGGTGATATGGAAACAATCTGAAAAGGTATATAAAAATATAAGTTGCATATAAGCAAATAATGCTAATTTTCCATGAAGGACATTCCTTGTAATAACAGGAGTCAGTCTTACAAATCTTTTTTCCCCACAGGCTCCCAGCTACAGTTGACTTTCCTGAAACTCTGCTAATAGTCAATGAAGATGAACAGGCACTTATAGTATATGATTAGTCTCAACGTAAATGCCTAAAAATGTCAGATGAATCACACTCTAAAAGAATCTTCTCTTCACTAACAGGAGAATAAAGTAATTAGTTCAGAGTATATAGTCTGAATAGTGTGTGTAAAAGAGTATATACTATTTGTTTAGCTGAGATTAATCTCATTCAGAGCCAAATGACCAGTATAGAAAAATACTTAATTTATAGCAATTTAAAATTAATTTTACTACTAAGTATTGTAAATGATAATAATTGTTCCATTTTTTTTAAGCAGAATTTAAACTGAGAAAAAGAGAGTGGGAGTGGGGAAATTAAAATTATGACTGCTGAATATCTGGTCATTCTAAGTCTACAGATGTACACATTAGCTTAGAAAATCAACAGAAATGAAATTACACAGTGCTTGAGTGCATGATCTAGTTTTATGTTGCTTGTCTAGATCCTTCTTTTTATTTTTATACCTTTCAAATAGAATTATAAGAGTTAAAAATTAAAGCAAATACACTTGTTTTGGAGGGCATTAATCCATGTATGTAAAGTAAAACCCAAGATTCTCATTTGTCCTTTTTAATGTTAGTTGCACTTAACATAGCCTTCGAAGTCTGTTTTGAATAAGCTAGCTGTGAAATACGAAGTTTGACAGACATATTCTAGAAACAATTGCTAAAGAAAAGAAAAAAAAAAAACCACCATGGTTTTAATAATGCCACAATGGTCAAAAATTATTTTTATATAACATCAAATAGAAAAAATTACACTTCATAGTTAATGCTGTTTCAAATTTTCTTAGCCAAAGGTAGCCAATGTCATTGCTTGTCAACTATATATTGTCAAAGAATATCTGCAAAGGTAGTGATATTTTAACCATAATGAGAATTATACTTTTCAGATAAGTATTATGTCAATAAATTCCTCCGCATCAGTTTTGTAAGCAGAAGAATGTTTCCTGCTTACCTATTTTGAGACAGCAAAAGAGTCTGCAATAGAGGCAACCAATACAAAGAAAGCATTCTCATAGCAGAAATGCTATTGTCATCCAAATATAATTCTCTTAGAAGAACATGATTTTCCAGCCTTGGAACCTAAATAGAAAAGAAATGGTTATTTAAAATTAATATAAATTAGAAAAACAACAATGGAATGCTTACCAGATGCTTTTCATAAATCATTACTAAATACAAGCAAAAAACACATTTTGGATGTATGTATAATGTCCTTATTATGTATGTACCAGTTGTCACGCATATCAGTTGTCACCTACATATCAGGTGGTAAGTATTTTTTAATGACTTCTACCAAGTCTGAATAGTTAATATAAACAACAACAAAAAAAAAAAGTCAAGAGCCCAACAGTCTTACTATTTTATTCATGCAGTTATTTGCTGTTTATTGACAATGGTTTTCCTCTCTTGGCTTCATAAAAGAATCGTTGTCAGTAAATATAACTAAGCGTACAGTTAGCAAACTACTTTCCTATTTTAAGAGCTGCAGCATGAACTTCAACTTTTGGAAGATCAGCATACATCAAATCAGCCTGAAGTATGTAGTGATAAAATTTTATTACATTTTAAACAAAGAATCAGCATCATATAATATACACTGAAGATTAAATGCTATAAACAAAGGAGGGAAATATAATTATTGAGGAGCCAATTTTTCAAAGACTCAGGAGCAAGCAAATACTTAACTGCCAGCTGTTTGTATATTTGAAAAAATCTCTCTAATGGGGGAAAAAAAAGCCTACCTAAGAGCATGCAACATCCCACAGCAAGCACAGAGCACATGATCAGCATTCTGAAATATATGATCGTTACCAAAGATGTATGCACAACAGCCTCTGAATTCAAAGCTTTTACCTCCTGGAGGTTATTGCCTTGCAACTTTAGAATTTGAAGTAGGCCACAATTCTCAATGCCTTCAACTTGTGTGAGATGATTAAAAGAACAGTCTAGGTGAATAAGGCTAGGTGCCTCACAAAGACCTTTTGTGCTGATTAACTGATTATGGTCCACAATTAATTGCTGAAGATTTTTCAGTGACTCCAGACCACCTGTAAATTAAAGATTTTAGCAGAATTAAGCCATAACGAAATAAAAACCTATTGGCTTTCAAGTACTAAGAAAACTCTGAACTTTCAATATATTAACTACAGTAGCAATTAATATCAGTCCCGTATAAAGTTTTTTAATATTTGGTGTATTTTGACTCTATCAAATATACAATGTGTACAGTTCACAGATTTCTGGTCCTGTTAACCAAGAAATAATAACAGTTCATAACCCCTTCAGCACTTCGGTTGGAACAAAACATTCTTTTAGTGATAAAGTATACTTACTCTGCTTTAAGCACTTTATAACTGCTACTTAGAACCTATGGGCTCTATGAAATGCTAACAGCCCTCTTAATATCACTCCTCAGAATGAAAACAGTACTTATGTTGGAAAGTTAATTTTCATTATTTCATTTTTGAAAGTTTTGGTTTTTTAAGTTATCAGCAAGGTAAGAAAAAGTTTTGCTAAAACTTACGTCAGCACCACCTCTATTATCCAAGTGCATCTAGTTTAAGGAATTTTTATATTCCTTATATTTTTATATTATTATATTTTTAATGAATAAATTTATAAAGAAAACTTAGTGCCTTTAAGTATAAAGCTATACCTCTGCAGCCATTACACTCTCATCAAACTTACTCCTGCCAGCTAGCGTAAAGAGCAAGAATGTGTGCGATCTCTACCCCAAAACCGATGCAAAGGAAAAAGTTCCTGTCAGTGTCTGTTTCTTTCACACAATTTTTCCCAAATCATCCTCTTACAACAGCAAAAATCACACTCTCTTTCCATGGTCTTACACATGCTAGATGTTCTGCAATGGCACTGTTAAGTCTGACTTGCTACAGGTCCAAGAAGTTTTCCTGTATCTCTGTAATAAAACTCCTTTAAATGGTCAGCCTTTACAAAACGTGCCAAAATAAGGAATTTCTGAATTTACTTTTCTTTCATGTATTCTTCACAGAATTATTTGAGGTTATACTTTGTCTCATCTTTATCTCACCCAAAACTTCCCAAATTCCCAAAAGGAAGTTGGGCAAGCTTTACAGAGGTGAATGTCGTTGTGATTGTCCTCCAAGAATGACATGGATTATGAGATCAGAAACCAGTTTGCACCACGGATTATTAAGCATACAGAAGAATAATTAAAAAAGAAAATGAATGAGAGGGAGAAAACAGAGGTAAAAAATTAAATGCCAAAATTAGCAGTACATTTAAAAAAACCTAAACAAATATAGGCCTTTGAATCACAGTAATTTAAAAATGGAAAGCACCTACTGGAAATAACACAATTGCCTGATATTAAAAAGATATTACCCTAAATCTAACCAAACGTCCCATACTGTAACTTCAAAACTGTGCTTTAGGAAATAAATACACAAACGTTTGATTATTGTGAAAGAATTTCAAACATGCCTATGACATACTATCCTGACTGCAAGATCCTCACCTGTATTTTTTTTATGCTTCGATAAAAATAAAAAAGGAATCAGCACCATCTAGTGGTCTCAAAACAATTTATTTTCAACGTTAAATTTAACAGCTCCCAGACCAGTCCTTAAATCTCCACTTTTAAATTTTCAGCATAGCCGTACTGTAAGCTAAAAGCACTGATTTAGAGGAGAGACAGCACACACACTAAGAAAAGGCAAGGAGTTGATGCAGGATCTGGAAATTTCCTACTCTGCATGCTGCACAAAGCACTTTTTTTTACGTCTCCTTCTCCTCATTTGTCTTGTTTAATTAGACCAAGTGTCATTCAGAACAGACATGCCAAGGCTACATACAATGGGACCACAATGTATTATGGAAATTTCATAGTACAAACAGATGGTATTTTAATGTTTCTTCTGCACACATGCACAATTAAAAATAAGCATCACAGTCTTCTGCACATTTCCAGAAGATGTTCTCTGTTATACATATGATGCAACCGACAACAACTATAGCAGTATAAAGGGAAATGCATTCGGCTGAAAAACATGGTTTCCACAAGATTTGTGGAGAACCTTTATGTAAGGAGCTCTCAGCAATTTGCAAAGTGTAGCTGGAGTTCCTTACCTCTCTCTTGGACTCTCTCTTAGCTATCAATGCAGTTCTGAAGTAACTTCTGCGTGACAAAGGTGAATGACAAGAGAAAAGTGAAACCTGACAGTGCACATGAAGATGAAAAAACACACAAAATACCCCAAAACTGAAAGTTGTCTTATAAGAAAACAACCCTATGTTCTTTCTTAAAAAGAGTAGATCCAAAGAAGCATTTACCCCTATCCATGGATATGTACTGCTGTTCTTAGCACTGCCAGGATTTTAGCCACCATACTATGGCATTATAGACACTCTACAAAAGCGTATTCTATGACTCAAGTCAAAATACTACTTTTTGTGTAAGAAAACTTAAGCAAAGCATTCATCTTCCAAGTACAGACATATGCACTGAACTTCAGTGTATTACTGACACAATTACTTAATTTGTGATCATGCATTCTTAAGTGGAAAAGCATAATTGAGACACATTTCTCATAGTTTTACTGTTATTTTTAAGGGCTTTCTGGCAACTCTATTTTTTCCCCTAATGATGCTATATTTCAATGAGAAGAGGAAAAAAAAAGGAAAAAAGAAATCATAGTACACTTGAAGTTGCTACCACAAGGTATTAAAAGAGAAGTATTACAAACATAAATAAGCCTTACTTAGGAAAAAGCCCACAGCCTTAAAGCTGAATGAACAGCGGACATGGCAGCGCACTGCAGCTTGCAAAATTGCTAACGGATGTCCTACAAGATTTACAGATGGAGGGGATACAATAATTTCTTAAAACCCATAAATCCATTCTTGTGTATTCTATGCGACCACTTACAACTAATATGTTATTATATGAAATAAATGCTGTATTATGCATCTGTTTTAACCAGATACCCTCAAAGCAACCCTGGAGAGGAGGAGCATAGATTCCAAGATGATTTTTGTGAACACTTATTTACCTGCTCAAATTCATTAGAAACTCAGTAAACATAGCACCACGCTGCATAAAACAGAAAGCATTTTACTTGGCCTGTAGAAAGATGTCACATTCCACACAGATGCCACATTCCTAAATGTCACCCACTGATACTATATTGTTCTTGCAGTAATCTTACAGATATTTTTATCAAATGAGATAAATCTGAATAAGAATCTTATCCAGCATTGTTGGCCACAAGGATATACATGAAACTTCTTTAATTAGTTTATTTTATTTTTTCTCATTAGGGTACCTATATACTTTTTCAGTAAACACAGATTGATATTCCAGTATCTTTATTCTCAGGTACTATAAACTCTGTTTACAAATACTAACATTCCACATTTGCATATATTAGCAAAAAACATTGAAAATATCAACATTAAACCCTCTAAATCTACAGATTTTTATTTTAAGCTTTCCCATATCCTGTTTGCTATGCCTTGTTATTTATCACAGAATCGCATTATCCGATTATCCATGTTCATCCTGTTTCAATTTCCTTTTTTTTTTTTTAACAGTGGAAACCATTTATTCATATAAATGTCTTATGTGAATGTGTTTTATCTATGAGCTTAATAATAATTGTTTATATTATTTTCCTGCTGTCTAACAGGAAAATAAAGCATGTCCATAAACTTTAAATAAAATTAAAAATCTAAATCAAGACAAATAAAATAAAAATGTCCTTATCCATTTCCAGCTCTGCAGTCTTTCCAAGTAACATCTTATAAGTATATAGTTATCCGTATTTTGGGGCCTTTTACAAATTTCACAGTATGCCATACACCAAAATCCAAGTCCCTAGAATATAGGGAAGCTGTTAAATCTAGTTCTGTTCCATCTGCTGTGCTGTCTTCTTGAAAGAAATTTGCTACTTTCAAGCCCTGAGAGCTCCCTTTCAAGTAATGATCTAGCAATTTACTACTACCTTTTCTCAACTGTTAATGTTGCTTTTGATGGAACACTAATGGTCTTCCCTCCACACATCATTCTAATAACAAAAACTGGTTTCTCCACTTACATGCAACAAAACTCTTGGTTATTTACACTGCACTACACTTTCCTGATCTTTTGCCAGTAGAAAAGGCTCTGGATCCTGATTACATCTATACCAAATCTACATAAGACAGGGTTTAGAATGCGATATTTTTGGCTTGCCAGAAGCTGAGACACAATATCTACTCCTTAGGCATTTTACAGTCCAAGCAGCAGTACAAGCAGAGAGGCAGCAAAGGCAGAGGGACAAACACTTGTTCACTACATGAAAAATTCCTGGCCGGCCAACAAAAACCATCTATTTCCTGGCAGAAAGGTTTCACGTATTGATGTATCTGCTGAGCGGTCTGGATGCATGTAAATTCTAACTGGTTGACTGCATGCTAAAGGTACACCTGTTGCCTGCCAACTGTTGGACCCAACAAATACATTAAACTGCCTTTGTAAATACAGTAGGGGCTGGCACACCTGCTCTGCCTAAATGCTTTGCATGGTTTTACCTTAGACTCATTCTTTTTTCCAGCTTTGGGTCAATGAGCAGCAGTGAAGAGCCAGAGAGAGAGGAAAATATAGAACAATAGTTTGGAGTCAGAACGGGCAGCATTTTATTAGAAAGAGAGGCCGTAGTCCAGTGTTAGTGTTGTTCACAAATTCAGACAGATAATATGATTTACATATAACTACTTACTGTGTCAGTCAGGAACACACTGGAATTCTCTGCAGCTGCAAGGCTAGGCTTTATATTAATTGCTTCTGTAGATAAACTGAACTCAGGCTACTCACGTATTCCAGCTGAGTCAGTGCAGGTAGTATTAGGGGCCCTTCTAGAAAGATTTTTAGTTCTCTTTGGTTAACAATAGTTGTATGACTGGGTAGATGGAATACATGGCAGTAGCTAAGCCGTAGTACAAATAAATGTGAAGTTGAGTATGCTTTGAAATTCAGGTCTGTTCTGTTTCTACATTCTCCTTGGGCTTAACAGCTGGCTGGCCCTGGATCCAAGCAAAGTATAATTCTGAATATAAACAGTACAAATATAGTTATACAAATAGGAATGTTTTTTAATTAATTTTCTTACCAATTCGAGTGATTCTATTGTAGGAAAGTTCAAGATTTTGGAGATTTACACAGCCATCTAAGCCACAAACTGATGAAAGATGGTTCTTATTCAGAATCAGAACATGGAGATTTTCTAGATTTTCACAGTCAATTATCTGAATGTTGTTTTCCTGCAATATAGGAAAGCGAGACTATTAAATAGCACCTGAAGTGAAATAGCAGAATTAAGTGTAAAAAAAAAAAAAAGGATAGATTGTCATAATTCCTTATTTTTATTCTAAACTTCTAGCTAGGAGTAAGAGCCTATCTATTTTTTTTCCATTAGGAAAATAAATTGATGAGTCATAGAAACTGCCTTTTGTGTCCTGCTGAGACTGAGCAAAAATACATCTCAAACTTCATTCTGGCTCTGAAAATGTCCAGAAGACGAAATAAAAAGTGTAAGGACAGAGTGACCTTCTCCATTTATGCTTTCCTAGCTTTTCCAATGCTGGGAAAGTGAACTGAAAAACTGCATAGAAACAATCATATTTACTAGAAACTAATGACGACAACGATGACTTTGCAGGAATCCTATTTACAAATAGTGAAAACCTGTATTTAGATGTATTTTGGTCACAAACATTAACACTGTTCTCAGCTAATATTCTTCCCCCAAAGAGATATTGCTCTTAACATCCCTCTACCTAGGCCATTTTAATAATGCTTCCTCACATTTTTATTTCACTATTTGCTGCTCTTGTTCTTTAAATCTGGTTTTCACCTGCCCAACAGGTGCTCAAACAAACAAAACTTAAACTCCTCGCCTTTGTAACAAACCAATTAAGCCAAGAATCTAATTCCTGTTACAGGATTAACATGCTGACTAGATTTAGGTGCTACATTCAGCTGTAGGCAGAGATGCATACAGGTTTCCTTTGGAAGCCGTAACACTGATTCCTGCCCTTGGAGAGCCCCTTCAGTTGCACCAGTAAGTTAAAGCAGAGAACTGACACAGCTTAAACGTTAGCTTTTGTATCAACAAAATGAGGGGCAATATCAAGTAGGAATGAATGTCCAAGGGAAATAGAGGTACTTTAGCTATGTGAGAAATACCAATAAAACAATCTTGGACTGTTTCAACTGTCAATAAAGCAGCTGTTTCTTCATTAAGGTTGAATGGAAGACAACTGCCACATTAGCTGGCACAGCAAAAGTACAAGGAATTATTATTAACAAAATATATAACTATTAAATTATTAATAAAGCATATGTAAAAGTCTTTCTAAGAGTCTTCGCTTTAAATAAATTATCCTGACATATCCCACTAAGGCAATGCTGTATATTATTTAAAGCATAACATTTTTAAATTAAAAAACCAAACACAAACCACAAAACCAAAACTACTAAGAGACAATATTTGAGCTAAAAAATTCACATATAAATAACACATTTAGTAAAACTTGCAGCTTAGATATATATTACACCCAAATACTCTTGTATTTTGAGGTACTTAAAAGTAACAAATCCCAGATATTACAGTCTGAATAGATAAAAAAGAACAGAAGCGGACACAAGTATTACAACCTGCCCTATTGCAAATCTACTTAACTGTAACTAACTCTTTTAAAAATAATTATTATCAGCTCTCTTCTCCAAATTTAATTTAAAAAAAAACCCCAAAAGCCAAAACAAAACGAAGTCCCGTACTTTGGAAAGAACACCCATTACTGGGTAAGCAGAAACATTTAAGATTTCTACAAATAATAAGGGCATGTTAACTCTCTTATGAATTGGCGTTGTTAAAACACATGAAACAAAAATGTGAACAGAGTTGTTTCATGTAAATTGTCAGGTTCTGGAACTGAGATGCATCACAGAGTAAAACGTTTTTTTTAGTTACTAAATTTATAAAACCATGTAAGACATGGTGCAGTAGCAAGTACCTAGACATTATACCTCTAGTAACTCACTATACCATTCCTTGAGCATATATGTAAGTAATTTTAACTAATATTCAAGGAGTGTATTGCAAAAGACTTCTTCTGCTTACTGCTGCTTAAGCTGTGCATCTGCTGGGGGGAACAGCATCTGCCGACTCATGAATCAGAGGGACTGAAGTCACTGTGCCATACCAACACTAATCCTAGACAGATACTATCACATACTGCTTTCAGCTTGATTCATTTGCAGGATGTTGCTTTAGTACAATGCAAATTGCTACATACAATGCAAATCTGCTGGTATAATTCTGTTAACATGTGGGAGTATTTTCTTGATATTCCTGCACTCTTGAGGCACTAGAAGTTGAACGCGACACAAGCGTGTAAGCACACTAGCAGCAACACTGGTAGCTCTCCCTGGGTTACAACGAAGAATTAAATATGCTTGGTACCTCAACATTGATATACTTCAGGTCTTTGCAGCTACTTAGTCCTTCCAGCGCAGCTAGTCCACAGCGCCTCAGAGTCAAAACTTGAAGATTTGTGCACTCGGATAATGTTGAGAGGCTGCAAGCCGGCAAATCTTCAAGTGTAAGCGTTGTGACCTACAGGTATTTATTGATAAATAAAGTTAATTGCTTGTATATTGAACAATCATTGTACAGCGTCACATTAAGGTTATTTTCTTTTTAAAGAGACCAAAACTACTTTCTACTAACTCTTTAGAAAATGGAAGCAACTAATGTTAATCCTTTCATATAGAAAAGGACGGCAACGGTGGGTTTGACTTGTTAAATGGGAGAAGTTATTACGAAAACAATCTTTTTGATTTAAACATCCACCAATGCTTTGGTAATGACATTGCATTTGAATGGATGGAAGATTGACACTAAGCAAACCAATTAAAATGGGAATTCTTTCCCATTACACTATCATAGATAAAGAGTGAGTAAATGCACAAGAACAGACAAAAATAGTTCAGACTGTAGTCTAGTATGTCATCTCAGAGTGGATAACAAGATGAGAACACAGAACAAGCACACAATGATGTTACTAAGTGATAAGTTAGTAAGTGCTGGGAACCAAGAGATGTTCTTTATGGCAAAACACCATTTACAAGCTGATTGGCAATATCTTGCTTCTGGAAGAGACGAGTCTTCTCAAAACGTTGAAGGGGCTAGATGAGCAGCACCCTCATACAAAGGGAAAATCATGTTAATTTAGCAGAAAATAAGGCCTAGGAGATCCTGTCTTTTACAGACTTAAGACACCATCAATCATTCTGCTCAATGATAATCTCCTCATCTTCCAAAATAGCATTCTGCTGACACACCAAATTTAAAAAAAAAAAAAAAAAAGGTACGGCCGAGATCCTGTCTTTTACAGACTTAAGACACCATCAATCATTCTGCTCAATGATAATCTCCTCATCTTCCAAAATAGCATTCTGCTGACACACCAAATTTAAAAAAAAAAAAAAAAATGGTACGGCTTCCCATTTCATTCTAAATCTTCTGAATAGTTAGTTACCTGCTGCAGAGTATTCCAAGGGCCACTCTTAAGTATCTCCTGTGTACTTAGTGAAGGCATCTTGCTAACTGAACTTTTCCTTGGTCTTTTTTTTATAGTCGCTTGCTTTCTTTGGTTTTCTTCATATATTTTAGACCAAGGTTTACATGTGTTCATCCAGTTTATCCTCTTCTTCTCAATATCATCAGGAACCATTAGTCTACTGGAACAGTCAGCTAAATCTTGAATTCTGTCCCAGGACTCTCTGACTTCCTCATTAGCACTTTCCATTAGAAACACAGCTTTCTCCATTGTTTCAGACTGAGAAAATTGATCTTTGACTTCTCTATTACTAGCATTTGGCTGGACATTTGGTGAACTGCTGCATATGTTGTTTGTTTTATTTTCTACCATGTCATTAGCTCCAAAATTAACAGATTCATCCCTTGATGTATGATTATTTTGAGCTTTATTAAGCTCTTTAGTTTGTGAGGAATTTTCTTCTACATGTGTTACTGAATTCATGTATATGTTCTTATTATTTACTTGAGAAGAGTGCTCCTTTTTCTCAGAGCCTAGCATATTTGGTGGTGTCAAATTTCTTTCAGCTGGAATTGTCCAATTATTTGTTTCATGCATCATTTCAGTCTGTTTTTCCTTTTGTTCCTTTACTTGTTTATTTAGTTCCTCCTTCTGTTCTCTCATTACTTTTGTATTTTCTGTCTGCTTATCCTTTTTTATATCTTCTTTGTTGTTTTCTCCACTTTCACTCATCACAGCTTTTGCTCTTTTTTCTCCTAGTTTTCTCTGTTCTTCTCTTCTTATTTGCAGCTGTTTTTCAAGTTTCAGGCTTTCTTTCTTTTTCTCATATTCCTCACGCCTCCTTACCTGTTCCAAATATTCCTGTCTTTCAAGTTCTTCTTGTGTCTTTTTTTCCTCTTCTTTCTTTTGCCTCTTTTCTTCCATTCGCCTATTCCTTTTTTCCTCTTTTTCTTTCATTTCTCTCTCTATTTCTCCTAGTATTTTCTGCTTCTTTTTTATTTCATCCTTCCATTCCTTTAAGATGGGAGCATATTTTTTATGGACTAAAAATGATCTAAATCTAGCTTGGATTTTCACAGCTGCTGTATTCTGTTGTTCTGCCAGATGTTGCTTTTCTTCTACTTTCTGCTCTTCCAATGCCTTTTTTTCCTCTTCCATTTGCAACTGTAGCTTCATGATCAATTCCTAGGCCAAAACAAGTAGGAGGGACTTAAATTACTTTTAAAATAGAACATGCGTTGTCACATATTTATCATTAATAAACACAACCTGATGTATTAACTGTTCCAGAATAACATTTTTTCTCAAATATATGATAGTAACGTCATAGTGATTTTACAAAAGCTCATTGTATAACCTTACCTTACGTTGCATTATTTTGTCTCTCCAAGCTTTCTTTTCTTTCTGTAACTCATCTTCCATCACAGTTTGCCGTTTCTGCACAACAAATTAACTTAGGTGAATATTGTACAAAACATGGAACATCAAAAAACCCCCTCTCTCCTATCTCCCCCATATTCATAACTATCCAATAATGCACACTTGCCAGTGCCTGAATTAAAATGAGCACCTCAGCTCTGTGAGGATCAAAATAAACTGGACACTCAGGTCAGTAAAGCAGACTTGGTCAGGGAGCTATCTCAGACGCTGAACTAGCCTTAAGAGATCAAAGATGTTTTCACTTACTAAGCCCTTCCTTAATTTTGGTGACTTGAATTACCTTGCTGGGACTACAATGCTCACATTTTCAGAAAGGTACAAATTAGTTTACTGAATATGTAGTGTTACTGCACCTCCCAAAACAGAAATATTTAGGCTAAATAATGAAATATTGCGAGCCCACAAGTATGACATGTGAGGGTTACATTTTTTCACATTCTTATGCTCCTATGTGGAGTTACCAAATTGTATCCTTCTGTATGCACTATAGCAAGACACAGCTAGACACCCTGAAATTGCAACCTGTCAGCATACGGAGTCATGTTTTGTTGTGGCAGAACGCAGTAGATTAAGCCTGACTCAGTCTCCCGGATACAGACAAGAAAAAGGAGTGTGGCAACTTTTACCCAGATGAAGCACAGCACCAGCATTTCTATTTCATATTAGATCTTGAATTCACATAGATGGGAGCAGATTGGCTTCAATATCATTAATTACCTTATGAAGAAGCTCTAATTTTATTCTTTCAGCCTCAAATTCCTCCAGACGCTGCACCCTTCTTGCGTGTTCCTCTTCATTCTGCTTTTCCTGTGCTTCCCTCTCAGCTTTCCACTTTTCCCTCTTTTCATCTTCAAGATCCTTTTGTCTTTTCTCCCACTGCTCCAATTCTCGCCTACACTTTTCTTCTATTTCACAGTGAGTAAGGCTTATGCTCATTTCAGCATCAGCTACAAATTTATAATCAACCAAGCAAACCTTTTATTTAATTTTTTATATAAACACTGGGGGACACTAAACAGTCTTAAAGTACTGACAAGAAAAGGATTCTGTGCTGATACAGCCAGCAATACATATCCCCAAGGAAATCAGAACTACAACACAAATCTTTCCTATCAGAGATGTCTTATTATCACGATGCATACTAACTGACTCTGCTACAATCATGGTCATTCTACCAATGTATATTTCAGGATTACACTTTGGCTTCAGGATTAATGTCTTCTGGGGCTGTCTGCAGGGGTTTTACAACTGATGCACTCCCTCCCAAAACATGCAAAGGCCATGGTGAAGGAAAACATTCCCAGACAATGTGAGTATGAAAAAAACATAAAAGAAGTTGTGGCCATAGCACAATCTGCTTAGTGCCTCCAATCTGACTTCCATTTGTATTGATAATTATTTAAATAATTTTTGGGTAGTATTTATTTAAACTAATTTCTTTCAAGACATTAAAGCCTAGGATAATTTTGTGATCCTGAAATGAGAGAAAAGTATAGGCATTTGCTCATGTTTTAATTCATGAAGTATCAAAATCTATTGCATACTGTAATGTATAATTCTTTACAAATAATATTATGATACTCATGGAAAGAGAAAAGCAGGAAATAGTGATATGACACTAAAGATAACTCAATCAAATGACTAATGCGTTTGCTCACCTGTAACAAAAGGGTCATCAGCGACCACTGCATCGTTGGAGGCCTGACTATTATAACTAGGTACTGTAGCAATCTGCAAGTCTTCATTTTCAATTTCAAATAGTACCTAATATAATTTAATATTGTCATGAGGAATTAGGAAACAAAATTAAAAAGCAGAACATTATAAAAATCTTCCAGAACAAAGATAAGCTTCTCATCATATGACACGTACAATAATACGAAACCTACTACTGACTGGAATACTTAGAAATTGAATGATGCAAACGTATCAGTCAAAATATTGTTTTCTAGAGTAATAAATATAGTAATATTTATCAAAACACACAATATTTCTGTATGTTTTCGATATATATTTTGCATTTTTACTTGGAAAAATGAATGTTTTGCATTTGGGATTTGTTTTATTTCTGTGGAACTAAGCACTATAATTATGCATTAATATTGTTATGCACATAGGAGAAGAACTAGTTATAGAGTAAATTTTTTAAGAAGTCTATTGGAAAATAATGTTACAGGCATGAAGGGTGCTGTATTTCTTTCATTGTTCTTTATTGGCAAGAAGTAATCTATTCCTGCTCATTTATCATCTGCTCATCACATGCTTGGGGCATATTTAAAAAGGGTAGAAGGAGGACCCTGGGAACTACCAACCTGTCAGTCTCACCTCCGTGCCTGGGAAGATCATGGAACAGATCCTTCTAGATGCCATGCTTGGGCCCATGAAGGACAGGGAGGTGATTCAGGACAGCCAACATGGCTTTACTAGGGGCAGGTCCTGCCTGACTAACCTAGTGGCCTTCTATGATAGAGTGACTAGGTCAGTAGATAAGGGACAACCTATGGATGTGATCTATCTGGACTTCTGTAAGGCCTTCGACACAGTCCCCCACAACATCCTGGTCACCAAATGGGAGGGGTATGGATTTGATGGGTGGACTGTTCCGTGGATAAGGAACTGGCTGGATGGTCACATCCAGAGGGTGGTACTCAATGGCTCGAAGTCCAGATGGAGAGCAGTGACAAGTGGCATCCCTCAGGGGACCCTCAGGGATCTGTGCTGGGACCGATAGCACATGTAAGCTATCTAGACTACTTAATAGAATTTTGTTCACTATCTTGTTTAAACAGAGAATACCTTTTTTTTAAATTGTTCTGGATCTTCATTATATTCAGAAGCCAATTCTGCCAAGTAATCTGAAGTATGGCAAGAAACTACTCCATAAATGTTACCTAAAGAAGAAATAAATACATAATTTAGTACACAGAGAGAAAATCCCTTACCAGCACTCAGTTCTGCTCTATACTGCTTAGAAACTGTATTTCTTTAAACTAAAATAAAGCATTTTTTCCTTTAAAACTCTTAACCGCTCACCCACCCTGCCTCGAATTTTTCTTAAATGTATATGGGAGTCATTTATCCACGTTAAAGGCAGCAAATACATGTAATTGGAACACACAAAATGATATTGTAAGAATCCAGTGACAGCAAATATGAAAGAAAATTCCACAGCATAAACACAGCAGAACATTTCCTGTGTAGAAAAATACAATAGAACTTCTATCAGATAGGTCAAAAAAGAACTACAAAAGTCATGTAAAAGAATAAGTGTCCATTCAAAAAAAAAAAAAAAAAAAAAAAAAAAAAAAAACCTCCCTCAACGTAAAAAAAAAATGTCCCATTAAAAAAAAAAAAAAAAAAAAGAACAAAAAGAAACCTTCCTCAAGTCCTATATCCAAATTTATAGACAGCATTGAATTTTTGTTCACAAAGAGGGTAACATTAAATGAGCGCGAAACTCAAGATGACATGAAAAACTAGAACAGAATAGACAGTGCCAGCTCTCGGGCATATAAACTATGAGCTTAGCTTCAGTCACACAGCTGACACAGCAATATTGTTCCCAATTACAAGGACATTTAATTTAATGCTAGTGTGAATATCTCTAAAAGATCCTATGGGGTTCAACTGTATCTGTACTCTGAAGTTCAGCTCCTACTGACTTCATTTTAGTTTCTCATAAAGAGTCTGGCCTAGGTCCTGTTGCAGAGAACGATCCTGCAACTTGCTTTGATCTGTGGTTTAGCATTAGACGATTTTTTAGAAGAATTCAATTAATACTCAGATATTAATTCTAGAAGACAGCATTGCATGGTTTTATTCCTAGAGATTTTCAGTGTGCATTCAGAAGCTGATGCAATAGGTTTCACTGCTGGCTCTACTTCAAATTTTGCATAGCTTTACTGATGATTGTTAGTCTAACTTCCATTGGCAATACGAGGTGCATAAATATTTTAACTGAGATCTCTGCTTACTTGTAGTTTCCTCATCTTCTAAGGCTTGCAGTATAAGCTTTTCAGCATCTTGATTTCTGCTCTTTATAAAGTTTAAATAGGAGAGAACCGATTCTGGTAAGTCATCTGAAATCTAGAAAAACACAATGTTTGAAATAAATTCTACATTTTCATCTCACAGACACGACCAGAGGCAAATATTTCACAGATGACAAATATCATCTACCCTAATATCCTATAGAGCATACAAGTCTGAAAGATTAAAATAACTGAAAAGGACCCAAATAACTGATCAGATTTCAGAATATCTTTCCCCAAAATAAGAAGTCATGCAAAAAAAGAGGACTTGAAGCACCGATTTATATGAAGTATCATGAAGTGTTCAAACCCTCTTATAACAGTCTCTTGTAAGATTTAAATATAGATTTAAGTGAAGAATCTCTGGCTTATTCATCCAGATTTAATCTTCCTCATTAGCCTTAATAAAATCTTCCAGCTTCAGAGGATTCTAAAACAAATCATTATCTACAAATCTGATTTTCTCACTTAAGCAGAATGCTGATATTCATCTTCTCTATTGTCTTTTCACCAGTCGAGGTGACATTTTTTCATGAAGCAACACTATTGAGAGTACTTTTCAGAAGAAATCCTCAGGTTGGGTATGTCAGAAAAAGTTCATCAGATAGGCTTTCAGATAATCAGATAATGTCTGTACTACTTTCAAGCAGAAATACAAGGTGTGTTAGTTCACTGAATACTTACCGTCTCACTGTCACTCAAAGTTTCTGATACCTCTGTGTCAGGATCATCTGCTTCAAGGGAAGAAACACTGATTCTACTTAATTCAATTTCTATTTCTTTTTCAATTCCTTCAATATCTTCTGACATTCTACTTCCCACAGTGTCTTATCTGCTTTCAAAACTACACAAAGAAAATGTATGCATGAAATGTACTGCATGAACCAAAACAAAGAGGTTGCTCATTTACAAAAGTTCATTCAGATGTATTATTGAATAGTTGGCTTAAAACATGAAAAGGAACAGCAGAAATTTGTTCTGAACATCTCTCTCCACACCAGCCAGCAAAAAATAAGAAAAATATTAGTTTGTGGTAAGAGAATCCCCCCTGAGTCTACCCCTTTAAATTTTGCAAGTGTTACCAGATTTGAATATTAGAAAACTCTGCCTGATCTCTGCTCCTTGTGGGCAGTATCAGTGCTATGACCTGAGCCTCAGAAGAGTTGTTTTCCTAGCCCTAATAGCTGCAAATTTACTTTTTTTTTTTTTAAAAAAAAAGCTTCAAACAATAAATACATGCTGGGGGCATCTCAGCCGTGAAGGCGCGACGCAGCTCCTAGCTGACACAAACTACATCTCCCAGAGAGCCTTGCGGCGGAGAGAACGGCCAGTAAGGACCAGAGCACCCCCCCTTTGCATGCTGGGAGCTGTAGTCCTGACCCTCCGGGTGCCCATAGCCCTCCGGTCTCCGGGATAAACTCCGTGTAGTTACTCACTTCTCCTCCAGCCGAGCTCCTACCGGAGCCCCCGCCTTCCTGGCCGCCTCCGGAGACCGACCGCCCCTCCGCCGTTAAATTCCGCAGCCCTTCACAACCCCCGTTCAGGCCCTCCGGGAGAAGGACGAGAGCCTCGCCGCCGCCGCGCTGTTCAACCGAGAGCGTCACCACGGCAACGGGAAACAGCGGCTCGGAAGGCGAGCGGCAGGGACCAAACTTAGCCAGGGGTCGGCCGTTCCGCGCCAAGGTAGCCAGCGCGGGGCGAAACACCTAGCACCCCGTCTTTTTCTAATTTTATTAGATTTTAAATAATGGACTGGACTTTGGATATTAAGAAAAATTTGCTCGCTGAAAGTGTTGTCAAATATTGGAACAGGCTGCCCAGGGAAGTGGTGGAGTCACCATCCCTGGAGATACCTAACAGACAGGTAGAGGTGGTGGTGCTGAGCGGCACGGTTTAGTGGTGGTTTTGGCAGAATTAGGTTGCTGGTTGGACTCGATGATATTAAAGTTCCCTTCCAACCTAGACAATTCTATGATTCTATTATTAGTGTTCAGAATAAATTGGAAGGAGACGCTGGGGAGACCCACCGAACATCCCTTCTGCCTTCATGCACTGGGGGCCTGTCCTGGCATGGAAATGCCGGTGGCCCAATGGTGTCCGGTGGCAGAGGCCAGTGGCCAGTCCCAGGGCAGGGGAAGGCTGGGCCTGGGGTGATGAGACGGTCCAGGCCTGAGAGATGGAGGGCAATCAGCTGCTGGGCAAGGTAGGGAACAGAAAATAATAGTTCAAAACAACCCAGCAACATTCACATCCAAATTATCTGAGAGCTGGAGAAAATTGGAGCTGGAGAATTAAAAGCTCCACGCAGTTCAGTCTAGAAAACTTATTTGGGGGAATGAAGGTGCAGGCAATATTATTTTAGTGTGTAAAAATATTTATAGGGAATGCATCTGTCCCCAAAGTCTGATTAGGAGTATCAAGACGCAAAGGCAGGAGTAATAGAAAAATAAGAACTGAAAGTTTAAGACAGGTTTTACATAGAAGACGAGCACTTTTGTGAGCAATGGGAAGGATCTGCCGAGGACAGTAGGGTTTTTTTCCCCTTCTTCCATTGTCTTTAAAATAAATTCAGTATTTTAAACTGAGTCTTTAAAATAAACTGAAACACTTAACATCAGGATCCTGGATTCAAGGGCAACTGTTTAACATTTTCTCACTGGTGTTGTGGATGAGTAAGACACTGAAATCTCAAAACAACGAAAACTTATTCATTTGAAATCCTTGTGATGTCTCGTACTTTACAGAATCATGTAACCAGTGAACTTTTCAATGTGGCCAGTTTAAGAAAAAAAATCTTCAAGGACCAGGTTGAATGTGCACTTGACACTTGTTTTGTAACGCGAGTTACCCTGTGATCATGGTGACTGAGGACCGCAGGCACGGTGTCATGCATTTAGCAAACAGCTTTGCCAATAAAACCCCCCACGTTTCTGAAGGCCTGTAACCAGGAAGTTAGGGCTGATCAACAGAAGAAAACTTCTCACTTGTAAGGATGTGGTTAAGTTGGACTTCAGGAAGAAATGCATCGTTATGAGACTGTGCTCTTTAAGGTAGGATGGAAAAATTCAGAGATGGTAAGAATTTTCTTGTGAAGTAACAATGTCATGTAAAATATACCTCATTTTATAAAGACAATATTTCTATTTTTCAGATAAATAAGATAATCTGTATTATTAAAATTGTTCAAAATAAAGCATTACAACCACATGGTTATTACAACAGAAGTGTTGCAGATGCCAGTTTTCCAGTGAAATATGTAATTTTTCAGGGTCTTTTACTAGAACAATGCATCGCACCAATGTTTAATGCATGCTGATTTTGAAAATTCTGATGAAGTTTAATTACTCTTCTTCAGGGAAAATGCAAAACCAGTTATCTAATACAGTCCATAAGTTTATCTGGTGCTTTATAGACCCAAATCCATTGCAGAGCTAGTTTTAAAAGCTTATAGCTTTCTTTATTCTGCAATTTAGCACATAAAGTTTTATAATCCAGGCAATGACGATCTTGACAGGGCAGACAGAGACTGTGGTTGCTGAATCTTTTTTTTCTAATCAACAGATTTTATACATATGTAAATGTTTTGTATGTAAAATAAGTTGTTAACGCAAGATATTTTTTGACTGCAGAAGCTTCAACTTTGTCTTTTGTTTTCTGTTTTACAATCAATGGAAGACACAGCTTCTTATTGTAATCAGTCTGTAGTAATCCTGACACAAGACAAGAACAATTCCTTTCAAACATGTCCCTTTGTCTTAAAAAATACTTTTTTTAAGAGTATGCCCATTCTGGTTATGTTCACGCATTTGTGCATATTTTTGTGCCTGCCTGCTTCACACACGAGAAGTGTAGGACCAACTGCCATCAGCTGCCGTTGCAGAATCCATCTTCTGACACTGCTCTTGTACCACAAAGCCAGGCAGAACAAAATGCCAGAGCATGTTTACAGAAGAAGCAAGAAAGGTGAAAGGGAACATGAGGTGGGAGACAAATGGATGAGTTTCACTGTGCAAAAATCTTAATAGGCCCAGAAGACATGATACCAAATAATGATAATAATAATAGTGATATATAAAAAATAAGTCTTGCATCAGAGAATTTACAATTCTAGAGGTCTTCCCTGCTGAAATATGCTAAACTGCACTCAAGATGTGAACGCTCAAGTGACTTCACTGTGGTTCTATCAAGATTTGCAGGTGTTTTCAAGGGCTATATAGTCGGTACTCAGGTTCTAATGCACACTTTGTGTGTCTTTCATGGGCCATTGATATGGGCAGGCTCTTGGCTTGCCCTTCCATTGACTGAGCACCCACTTACTATTGATGATTGATGAAGTGCATGTCTTGATTTAGTTTCATTTGAAAGGAATTCAACTTTTCACATCCTGTTACATTCTCCAACAAAAAACAGAAGAAAAAAGTAAGTGGGGGTGACTGGGAGGTTCACTTCAAAAGGGTAACACATACTCTGGAGTTCAGGACAAGAGAATTGGTAGCAGTATTTGACAGCTGTCATGATTCTGCTAGTACTGCGTGCTGGATCACACTGAAATCATTAGGCTGTACCTGCTATTTTCAACAAAAATTGAGTCAGGTAATGTAGACAGAGGGCTCTTACCTTTACTATGGTTCTCCCTCTTTATTTCAGCTGGTATCCTTAATAATTATTAAACTAAGTGTATTGAAGAATATAAGGATAAGTGAAAGCCAGGCTATGTAACTCATGCCATCTCTGCAATATAAATCTTCCTGCATACTTGTTGATTCCAAATGTCTTTAGTAGGTAAGAAAAAAAAATATCTAAAACCAGAAATGCACGTATAGAATATAACATTAGAGGTAATTGAGACACCATCCTGATGCTTCTGTTGTTAATACTATTTTTTGTTCAATGTATCAAGAGACTGTCTAAAATTATGAAACATTATCTGAAGAATATAAATCCCATTGTAATTGATAGGCTTAGTTATATCTGTTTCATATTGGACTGAATATGTGATTAAATTTTCAGCTGGGATTCAAAACTGAAAACAGAAGAATGAAAATGAGACATGAAATACTATCACAGAAGTACTTCTTAAGTGTCTTCAATAGTGTTTTCTTGGTAAAAATTTTGTTTCCTTTTTCTTATTTGGCAGCTTCAAATAATTTTTTAAGATGTTTTGAATTAAAACAATAATCCTCTTTGTTTTCCAGGCTCTGGGTCTTATGCTTTTGATATTTGGCCTGTGGCTTTTATTTGACAGAAACAATTTTTTCAGTGTCTTATGTGAGTATAAACAGAATTTTTTCTTTTGTTTCAAATGATTGCAAGATAAATCAACAGAAACAGCTATAGATTTTTTTTTTCACAAGGTGGCAGTATTGGATTGAAATGCATAGGTCATTTTTTTCTGCTGTGTGTATTTTCCATCATTAGCATGATTATCAAAATACAGGAATATATATATCAGTATATCTACAGTTTATATATGATTATAATTTATACAATTTATTTCTCTTGGTGTACAGCCTATACATGAATCACTGAAATATAAATCAGCTCTACTGATTTTTTCTTTATATAATTTACCAGACTCCATTTGGCCTGCATTTGACAAGTTTATAGATCCTTTAGGTGGATATTTGGGTGGAATGAACACAAGTTGGAATTTGAGGCCTCTCCATATAGATATTCCTTTTTCCCAGAGCGTCTATCAAATTGTTTCACAGAGAAGTAAGTTGTGGGTCACATTACAACAGCAGTGCTCTTAAAGAGTTGTCTGCCTTACCTGTGCCAAAGAGCATCAATTCCCAACTGGTGGGATGGGAACCATCCAATACAGTAATTCTGAGATGGAGATGGAA